CAAACAAACAAACAAACAAAATTTAGAAACAGCGTGAAAGAAAAAACGATGCTTACATCCGTTTTTTATTCTGCTACTCAAAGAGATGTAGGTTACAGAATTTATAATTATATGGTAATCACTTAGATATGCTTGACCGTCCTACTTACAGATAAATGGAGAAAGATAGAGGTGATAGGTTCAAATATTTTAGAGTGGTGTTTTTCTTATTTACATATTCAAAAGTTTTCTTGTTTATATATCATCTCGCGCACTCGCGCGAGCGTGTGTGGTGATAATTTGTAACCAGCGTTATGCTTATCGAATTGTGAATTTCATCATGTTAGTTGCAATAAGCTGCCAGGTCAATTCTAATTATTATATTAATGGACATCACATGTACAAACAAAATGCAAGTAAAGTTTACAAAAGTTGTTAATTGATATGGTTATTCTTTTCAAAAGTTACCTTGGTATTACAGATTGGTTCCTTTCGAGTTGTACTGAATTGGCCTTGTAGTTAGGGCGCTCGACTCGCAATATGAGAGTTGCGGGTTCGAGTTCCCGTCACACCGAACATGTTCGCCCTTTCAGCCGTGGGGGCGTTATAATGTGACTGTCAACTCCACTATTCGTTGGTAAAAGAGTAGCCCAAGAGTTGGCATTGGGTGGTGTTGATAGGTCGCGATAGGCCTTTCCTTTAGCCTATCATTGACATATTAAGGACGCCTAGTGCAGATAGTCATCGTGTAGCTTTGCACAAATTTCAAACCAAATATTTTGAGCTAGAAATATATATAATACTTTAAAATTGTAATTCAGTATAACAATTCAATTTACAAGCGCCCTTTTAGTTACACAGTTTATCATTATTAACATCTGTTTAGGAAATAAGTTTCAGAACAGCCTAGTTAATGAATTTTACAAATTATCAAATTATTAAATAAAATAAAAATTGGCCATTATATTTTTTGATATCATGACGTTTTTGTGAAGATCTTAATTTTGAGACTATTATTTATCCGCAGAAACTGTAACTTTTTTGAAGAGTGTTATCTACGTACCTGTTTTGATTTCCTTTCAGATATCAGGTTTATCTGTTTGTTTGTTTTAAATTTCAGGCAAAGCTACACGAGGGCTATCTGCGCTAGCTGTCCCTAATTTGGCAGTGTAAGACTAGAGGGAAGGAAGGCAGCTAGTCATCATCACCCACCGCCAACTCTTGGGCTACTCTTTTACCAACGAATAGAGGGATTGACCGTCACATTATAACGCCCCCACGGCTGAAAGGCCGAGCATATTTGGTGGCACGAGGATTCGAACCCGCGACCCTCAGAATGCGAGCCAAGCGCCCTAACCACCTGCCCTTCAAGTTTATCTTGGCCCGGCATGGCCAGGTGGATAAGGCGCTCGACTCGCAATCTAAGGGTCGCAGGTTCGAATCCCTGTCCCACCAAACATGCTCGCCCTTTCAGCCGTGGGAGCGAGTAGCCCAAGAGTTGGGAAGGCAGCTAGTCATCACCACCCACCGCCCTCTAGTCTTACACTCCTAAATTAGGGACGGCTAGCGCAGATAGCCCTCGTGTTGCTTTGCGCGAAATTCAAAAACAAACAAATACTATACAGGCTCGTGTCTTTCTTTTAATACAATCAAGTAGTTGAAGATCCTTACACCGACATCTAGTGGGAATTACTGTAGGTGGATATATCTTGTTACTTATGGTGGAGGTTTGGTCCCTGGAGACCGGTTGAGTGCAGAAGTGACAGTTGGTGAAGCTTGCTGTGTTCTGTGGACCAGCCAAGCCTTTCAAAAGGTAAGAGATATTTACACTTAGTTACAAATTTTATATAGTAATAATATAATAGCCAAATGTCTGTCTGTCATGCCCTGTATTTTTTGATCGGTAAAATTCGTAGAAATATATATATGTATCAAAATTATTCTTTTGAAGAGTACATTACAAGAAAATTATCAATTTTTTGTAATTAATAAAATTTCATATCAATATAAACGTCATATACACATATATTTTTTTCATCTCGTTATTATATACATGCATGATTTGTATCTTACCATGTAGAATAAATTGATTTGAATATCTCCCCTTTGACACTTCACATAAAAGTGACAACTGTCAAAAATCGCCCACTTCAGTAGCGGTCTTTGCATAAAAACCAAAACATTTTACAACAATGCATTGCAGTCAGTGTCCTTTGCTTAAAAACAAACTCAGTGCAATTTTCCTTATTGAAATAACACATCTAACCTATATAAAAGCCAGTGTCTGTCACGTCACGCTTGATTTCTCGAAATAGGAAGAGCCATAAAAGCCAAAATGCATTTATCCAGATAGAATAGTTCAATTACTGTCTGCTCATTACGATTTTAGTGACGGGGGTACAAAGGGGGCAGAGAAACCTTATAAAGTGTAGTGAGTGTTGGTATAATAAGCCTAAAGTAAAGACGTAGTGTGGGGTCACCTAGCTTAGAGATAAATGCTTAAAATTTATCATAAAAGTGTATTGTTTCATAATTAAGCTCTATTTCCTGTTATATCACCAACGTTTTTAGTATAAAAAAATCTTGTTAATCAATGGAGACTCTAAATTGAGAAATCAACAAATATTTTTCCAGTTTTGTTGTCTATACATTTCATTTTATACTTTCATTACATAGACAAACAACAATATTAGGTTATACATTTGTTGCTAAGCGACATAACATAAAAGCCACTGGCTTTTCTATATATGAAAAGTTGTTAATCTAACTGATTTTTAGCATTAATTATTCTATGAATACGTTATGAATTCAGTTCATGAATGATCTAAATTTTGATTGGCTCACAGAGGAATTTACCGACGTTTGACTGCCTCAACTGCACTTTTCTGCCCTTTTGTTGGCCAAACTTAATTGTGCAAAATTTACATATTTCAGTTAGATATGAAATGTGAGTATATATTTATGGTATACTATAGGGTGGGGGTGGTAGAACTCGTCCCATCATAAATATAATTTCACTGTAGTAGGTAAAAGTGACAAACAAACCTGTACAAAGCCAAAAGTTTTCTTAACCTAACTCTTTCTTTCTCTTTCTGTCTCATATATGTGTGTGTGTATATATATGTTAACTTCAAATAATAAACTTAGAATCAACATTTATACTAAGCAAAGAAAGAAACGCTGTATGTCTATACCACAGTATCTTAGGTAGCCTCCATCCTTCTGTATGTTTCCTAATGGGTCAGCGGTAAGTTTACACACTTACTACGCTAAAATCGGAGGTTTAATTCCATGTGGAGGATAAAGGTAACAAAACACAGGTAGCTCTGGACTAAAACAGACTTTTTTCTATACAATTTTAAATATCAGAGTAAAAAACAGCATTTTCACATGTGATTGAACCATGATAATAAGCTATTGAAATTTAAGGGAGAGGACCAACGTGGATGTTGAATACCGATGGAATAGAAATAGAACTAATGACAAAAGTTTAGCAATGCAGTTTGTCCCGCTATAAATGAATAATAACAATAAAAAAAGATGGAGTTAAAAAAGAAAATAATTCATCCCCATCATGTTTGTTTTAGGGCAGTATTAAATTAAAGAAAAATCAGATTGTTGTACAATTAACGGATGGGAATTGTAGTGAATAGGTATTGTTATAACGGTAATGAAAGTTGATTAGAAGTACTGTTGTATTTCTTTCTTTTAGGTGTACCCTTGTAATGACAACAAAACAACAAACTTTCGAATTTCATTCAGTGTCTCTTCATTCGGCCTATTGTGTGTATTGCCTGATCCTGTAGTTTGTTTCAAGAATGCTAATTATAATCAAGAACAGGATGTTTTTATAAGTTCCACAAGTAATTTGGTGTTTTTAGATTGGCTGACATCTGGACGAATGGCCAGAGGAGAAAGATGGGAATTCACCAGGTTAGTTAACAAAAATATTTGCTCATTTGCATCATAAGCCATGGCATCATAGTTAATATTGTGATATTTCTAAATTTTTGAGGACTTTCATGCTCGTTTGTTTTAGAAAATACTGAGCTGCATCTTTTGTTTATGGTCGAAATTGTTGACAGAAGAAATCTGACAGAAGAAAGTGATATTTAAATTCTCAGTCTTTCTGCAGATATTCTGTCTCTAGACTGAGAGAAATAACTTCTGTATACTTGAATAAATAGTGTGAGCTTTCCAAAGCATATATGTTACCAGTACTACTTTGTTATTCTGAAATTGTAATAAAAAGGACATAGCCTCAAGGCAAACATCTCCAAACTTATGTACCATTAGATCAGGTTGGGGTTGCCAGGAACTTTCCCAGCTAGGAAGGCATACTGACACTATTCTCCACTACCATGTATTGGAGAATAATGTGGAATGTGAGAACAATGTGCATTCTTATGCATCTAGCATTTTGTTTCAGACTTTGCCCATGGATATGACATGCATCAGAATGCACATCTCTCCAAAATGTTTGAGGATGAGGGTCTTGTAATCACTAAAAGCTATTAGAAAAGCTGGTATCGGGTGTCTGCACTAGATGATGGTGTTGTGTAACAAATGAGCCTGTCAGTGCTTAAGGGGATAGTTAAAGAGGATTTTAATACTTTTCTCAAGTGTTTTAAGCACATTATTTCTTTAAGACCTGTTTGATATTATACGGTTTACTCAGCAGCCCAACAACAAACTTACTGATAAGAAGCCCATTAAGATTGTCAGGATATATATACTCCGAAATGCTTTTACATGCAACCTTCTTAGATCATCTACATACGTGGCCTAGATTTCATAATGTTCTCACCTTTGATTCTGAACTTAAACTTATCCATTTCTTGGTTCTCCACAAGGTCAAACATTTTATTGCTAACTACACTACAGTTACTGAGTTGCTTCTCATCTATATGCATTCAGACTTTGATTATATAAACCATCAAGACTAAGCATCAGGCACTACGCCATCTGCTCCCGATATAATCCATTTCCTCTTTAGAGAGAAGGCAGCTAGTTAACACCACCCACTGACAACTCTTGGGCTACTCTTTAGAGAGAAGGCAGCTAGTTAACACCACCCACTGACAACTCTTGGGCTACTCTTTTGCCAATGAAAAATGGGATTGCTCAACACATTATAACACCCCCACAGCTGAGAAGGTGAGCATGTTTAGTGATAGGATTGGAACTTATGACCCACAGATCATGAATCAACTGCCCTTAGCCATTAGGTCTGTGTGGGAAGTTATTGGCAGCATAATAGCCTTGCTGTATCTGCTAAAGTATCATTCAATGTTTCACCAGGCCTTGGGGGCTTATAGAACTCGAAAATTATTTTGGATAAAATTCTAGAGCTGAAGTTTTTACTGGTTCTGGTCTCCTCCTCTGCTCAAGTAACTATTTCAATTGCATCACCAGTAGCCCAAGAGTTGTCAGTGGGTGATGTTAACTAGCTGCCTTCTCTCTAAAGAGTAGCCCAAGAGTTGTCAGTGGGTGGTGTTAACTAGCTGCCTTCTCTCTAGTCTATCGCTTCTAAATTAGAGACATCTAGCACAGGTAGTGTTCTAATAACTTTACACAGAATTCAACAAACAAAGAAACAGACTTGCTACACTCCAATACCATGGCTGAACCATCATTTCAGCAGAAGTCAGACTCCTGACATTTTCAGGTGTATGAGGGAGGTTGTGGAATATCTATATATTGTCGCAAGACTTTGAGTTACAAGTGCCATTTAGACCGATGATGGAACAGGTGCAGGAAGATTAATGGTAAGCTTTGGCTGCAGCTGTTACAGCTAATTTAAACATATATTTTAACAGTAATTAAGATATTACTACCTAGATTAAGGGTATTTTCTATGATTGTGTTTATCAAATGTGTAATTAGGAATTAGTTTAAATCTTCCAATTTACATCCTTCTAATTTGACACAACTAAGTACATTCCATTGTTGAATGTAAAAATTACTATCAATTTGTGATACAATACAAATTATTTCAGACCAATTTACAGATTGTCTAGTTATAATGCTTGATTCAGTTTGTATATGATTATAAGTTCCTGTAACCTTTACACACCAAGGGATGTTTTTTAGTAAGTAAACTTGTTGTTTTGAATTGTTAAGTGATAAATAGTTCACTTTTATGCTACACAGGTGTTAGGTGGTCACTCGTGTGAACTTGTATACATAGTTCATATTAAAACTGTTGAAAATAGTGTGTTCTTGGTTAGCAGTTTGAACAACAGCAGGATTTGTTAGAGATATAAATTGGTACTGAAACATTCAACAAAGTTATTTGGACACTCCAATGATTGTAATGGAAAGCAAAAAAATATGCTAGAACCAGTCAAACATAAGAAGTCATTGCAGCATGGCATATATATATATACTGTATTGACATATACTGTATTAACATAAGTATCTGAGGTGACTATATATATATATACTGTATTAACATATACTGTATTAACATAAGTATCTGAGGTGACTATATATATATATTTACTGTATTAACAAACCTTTTGTGATCAATTAGTGGGCAGCAAAATCTGTAGACATGAACTTCGTCATACCAGATCACATGACTGGTTACTTATCACTTATTTTGCATAATGTGGTGCCATTAGAATGATTGAATAACAGCAGTTATACCTTGTTGTAGGTAGGATATAGAAAACTTTATTATTTCCTAATTATTTTAAGCATGCAGCCCTTGATCGTTGACATATTCTATAATCTATCATACATCTTTCAGTAATGTAAGTCTGCATAAATCTAAGTTATATAAGCTTTGAAGTGCAAGGATAATACCACCAAATTTATATTATAGTGGATTTAAGTTACCAAACAGCTACAAAAAAAGAAGCAAAATATGATATACCAGATGGAAAAACCATATAAAGATGTTTCACCATGCTAAGTAATATGCTAATTCAGGTTATTTTTCATTTTACAGAAGATGTGTAGTTCATTATTTGTACAGAGCATATTTAAATTTCAGGCTTAAAACCACATTGTCAGTATTCCTTGACTCGACACTTGTGTTTCGAGATGTCTTGTGTTTGAAAAATACTAGTCAATTGGAACTACGAACAAGTATGAAACAGACAAATATTGTAGGATTTTGTTTCATAACCGGTCCTGATTTAAGGCAATTCATAGAAGGCATTCTATGTGATGTTGGTTGCAGACAAGCATATGGTATGTGTATTTCTCTGATGTATATTGGATCATATCCTTTAAAGAAACCATAAATTATTTTATGTAATTCAGGTTTTTGCTAATTTAAAAATTTTCAGTGCAATTCTGATAGTTAGTAAAGTATTCTTATAACTTGTTTAAATATTTTTAACTACAGTATAAAAAGTATTTTTTTAATTGATTAAAGACTGAAGTAGAGGATATTTAGAAATGAAGGAAAGCATGGCATTTTATAAGGGCATTCTCTCTACCTCTGCACAAGGTAGTGACTATCCCTCAATGTTATAGTTAGAGTAATGTTTTCTTATCACAATATGCTTATGGAATCCATGGAGAATAGTTGGAATAATTTGAATTTACATATAAAGAGAATAAATTTAAATTCAAGATATTATGAAATACATGAAACAAACTTGTGTATATATTAGAAACAAATTGAAATATTCACAAATGATCCAACATTACTCCATTTACATGACTACAAACCTACATCATGTTGGGTCAAGGCTATTGTACGAGAGGTCCATGAGCCAGGATTTACTTTGAATCCCCTTACATGCCATCCTCAATCATCTGAAGATTGTGACAAGCTTCTTTACCCTGGCCATAAATCCATTCAGCAATTCTGGACAATTCCTCATTTAGTTGGTGGAGATCTTTTTTGTAGAAAAATCCCAAGCTTCCATCCAGTTAGCCATTATCGTATGATGTTGGTAATGGCAAGATCTTCCTGAAAGTGTTTTTGAAGCTTTGTTTTGCGGGTGGCTTTTCCCCCTATTTTGAGATTTTTTAATGCCCATTTACATAGGAACTGAGTGTGCTTTTGTCTTCGACACTTTACCCCTGTTCTAGC